CTGCCATGTCATTACTGTATGTTGTTCACAATTTTGCAGTTTAGGCAGGGAGGTTCTTTGAGCCTGAGGATTAAGGGGCCACATGGCTAGTGCTGAGGAAATGGACTGTCATTGCAGAGTTAGCACATGATTACTATTTCAGTTCGGTTTATATACTAAGCTCAAAATGTGGGGGGGGGGGGAAGGAGAGGGGGGGGGGGAGAATAAAGTGATTACCTTTTGGTCCAGGTGGACCTTTGACTGCGTCAAGGCTAGCCAGACTGAGGGCTATCGCTGATTCGTCGGCGAAGTCTCCCTTTTCACCTAGAGACCAGAAAGCAACAGTTAAACAGCTTGCAGTATTGCAGTTCTACTGTCTGTGATATGTTGGGTGCCCACAAAGTAACAAGTGAAAGGTTCACTGAAACTTCGCGAGCTACACTGGGCATATACAAGTAAAGTAAAGAGGTCCCTTTATACCAGTGGGACATCGGGCGATGCTAGAATCACATTTGTATAGACGAATCAACATTTGGTGGGCGATATGATCAACAGCCTTTACTTCCCAAGAGGAAGATCAAATGGTTTGGTTATTTCGATATAATGAAGTCACAACTACCCAGCACATCGGCGTTATGCCTAGAACGATCTGATGTCAGAGCAAAATAGCGCCCAGGAAGGCTCTTCATTGATGACAATGATATGTTATCACAATAGACCAGTGGCTTTCGACCTTCCTAATGCCGCGACCCTTTAATACTGTTCCCTCATGTTGTCATCATGTAGCAGGTCCTTTGCAGAACGTCGCTCTCATCACAGTCTTCCTGTAAGAAACATGGTTTCTTGCCAGTTCTCCCGCCTCATGGACTTTCACACTCAAGGAGTCACTTATATCCTGTGCCCATCTTCGAGTCGGTCGGCCCCTGCCCTTCCTTCCTGGTACCATGCCTTCTGCTATAATTTTTTCCAATCCGTGGTGGCGCTTGATATGACCAAAATATTTCAGCTTTCGAGAAAGGATGCTGTTTATTAGCAAATCTTCCTTGATGTTAAGATCTTTTTAGATGTCAATATTTCTCATCTTCTTTGTCCAAGATATTCTGAGAATCTTTCTATAGCATTTCAGCTCAAAAGCCCCTATTCTCTTTCTTAAGGACTGAGAGATAGTCCACAACTCACATCCGTATGTAGCCACAGGGAAGATGCATGCTCTCAAAATTCGAATTTTTATCTTCTTGCTGGTGCTTAACCATAGACTTTTACCCTCATGTTGTGGCGACCCACAAACAATTATTTTGCTTCATAACTTCAATGAATATGTGTTTTTCGACGGTCTTAGATGACCCCTGAGAAAGGGTCATTCGACCCCAAAAAGGGTCGCCTACCGCAGGTTAAGACCAATCGACGTCTCTGCACACTGAACATTCTCACACGTTCTCAGTTCTCCGATGCAGCAGCCATTCTACGGTACCTCTGCTGATTGTTCCCATGAGAAAATGGTTATAACATCTCTTGTCTAGGCCTCGAAGGTGACACAGGCGTGCTTCACAATGCTTTACACCCAGGTCACGCATGACAGTCAAGACATAGACATCCACACAGAATGGCAATAAACCTTCAAACTTTGCAAACGGTACCTCCAAAAGCCGCTTAATGATAACTAAATAAACCTCAAGGGCTCTGAAGAGCGAAGGAGAAAAAGGAGACATTTTTGTATATTTACATCATGGTTTTCTCGTATGTATATGTGTGTGTATGTGTTTGCCAAGATTTGTATATAGACACTACAATACTTGTCATATTCGGATTATAATAACATTCGTAAGCAATTAAAGCAACTAACGATAATGACAAACTTAAACTTTGGTTTAAGGGGACTATTCACTGACCTTTCTGACCCATTTCGCCCTTCTGTCCCATTGATCCAGGAGGACCTGCAATACATCAGGGATAATATTTAAAGTTTAGTCACTCAATTAACTGTAGTTTAGCAGATTCACAGAGCAGGCTAACTGTAGTTTAGCAGATTCACAGAGCATGCTAACTGTAGTTTAGCAGATTCACAAAGCATGCTAACTGTATTTTAACAGACTCACAGAGCAGGCTAACTGTAGTTTAACAGACTCAAAGAGCAGGCTATCTGTAGTTTAACAGACTCACAGAGCAAACTAACTGTAGTTTAACAGACTCACAGAGCAAACTAACTGTAGTTTAACAGACTCACAGAGCAAACTAACTGTAGTTTAACAGACTCACAGAGCAAACTAACTGTAGTTTAACAGACTCACAGAGCAAACTAACTGTAGTTTAACAGACTCACAGAGCAAAACTAACTGTAGTTTAACAGACTCACAGAGCAAACTAACTGTAGTTTAACAGACTCACAGAGCAAACTAACTGTAGTTTAACAGACTCACAGAGCATACTAACTGTAGTTTAACAGACTCACAGAGCAAACTAACTGTAGTTTAACAGACTCACAGAGCATGCTAACTGTAGTTTAACAGACTCACAGAGCATGCTAACTGTAGTTTAACAGACTCACAGAGCATACTAACTGTAGTTTAACAGACTCACAGAGCATACTAACTGTAGTTTAACAGACTCACAGAGCATACTAACTGTAGTTTAACAGACTCACAGAGCATACTAACTGTAGTTTAACAGACTCACAGAGCATACATACTGTAGTTTAACAGACTCACAGAGCAAACTAACTGTAGTTTAACAGACTCACAGAGCATACTAACTGTAGTTTAACAGACTCACAGAGCAAACTAACTGTAGTTTAACAGACTCACAGAGCATACATACTGTAGTTTAACAGACTCACAGAGCATGCTAACTGTAGTTTAACAGACTCACAGAGCATACTAACTGTAGTTTAACAGACTCACAGAGCATACTTTGGAAAATCTAAATCTCCCTTGAAGTGTTTTGTATGACTTGGTAAACCTCATATCAGGAACATATCAGGGATTTTCTGTTTAGTATAAACGTGTTTAACTACTGGACGTAAATTTGTCTAGAAAAACCCCACAACAGCCAGGGACTGTTGGGGTTGGTTTCTGCAACGTCATGTAAAAGGATACGCAACTAACCTTACATATTAGGGTTTGCGGGGTTATGAGCAGGCTGACAGACTGACTGAATTTGCAAAGATTTCCGTTTATTTTCATTCTGATCTTATTATTTCGTCTGACATTGCGTTGGAATTAAGCTGTGTTGTTTACCATAACGTTCATTTTGTAATTATGGTTTATTTTTCCTGTTTTCGTTGCTTTTCACTTGGTTCTTCCCCGTCCCTCCCCACCCACAACTACTTCTATGAGGGAAAGAGTAGTCGGTGAATTGGGGGAAAAAAAAGGGGGGGGGGGAGGGTAACATAAATTGTTAACTGAGAGAGATTTAAGTCCCAGTAACTGTCTTACCCACTCAAAGTAGCAACAGTAGTAGTTGTGGTTGGACGTTTACACCGTAGGGCTGTCATGCCAGAGACCTGGGTTTGACCGCCGGTAAGGTGTTGGCGTTTTTATGTCGGGGGGGGGGGGCGCGAAATTATACATCCTAACCTGACCAGTCCGTGGCGACAGCACTAGCCATGCTGCACCAAATCCTCTGGCTCACGACCCCCTGTCTACTCCGACGGTAAAACAGATAGTAGTGACATTATTTTAGTTATTGTGGTGGTGGTAGTGATGGTAGTAGTTAAAGGATAGTGTTGTAAATATTACACTAGCCGCATTTACTTCTCATTACAGTTCCTGCTCCGCATTTTAGTCCGGATGGACAGGGTTGTCAAGGTCAGTTACAAAAAAAGAATCGTCAGGTGATGACTTTTAAATCCTTCGGAGAGGGAGAGAGCAGTACTCGGTGGATGGGGGAGGGGAGGGGAGGGCGTGATGACATAAATTGCTAACTTGGAGAGCTTAACACATGATTTTACAGTTTTCATTACCTAATTTTTTTTTAAATTTCACTAACGCTACTTCCCCTATTCTCATTTTTTAAATGACTTACTTAGTTATTTACAAGTACAGCTTTTCTTCCGTGTCTTAAAAAATACTTACAGCTTTAGCATGTAATAACAAAAAAACAAAAAAAAAACCATTTTTAAGTCCTAATAATACCATTTAAACGACCACTAATATAAAGACACAATTATATGTTGCGTGTTCTAAAGTCGACAAATTAGACTATCTCTTTATATGTGCAGACAATGATTGCGACATTAACCATATTAGACACGTGTGATTTCTATTTTCCTTCTTTTCCAAGAACCTTCGATGAGGGAGAGAGTAGTAGGTGGATTTGGTGGTGGTGGTGGAGGGCATCGAAGACTATCTCTGTATCTGTGCACACAATGATTGCGACATTAACCATATTAGACACGTGCGATTTCTATTTTCTTTTTTTTCCCATTTAGCCAAACTATGTCACAGCAACGCGTGGCCGGGTACAGCAAGTAGATAATAAACTGGAACAGATCCGACTTAGGCTATATTGAAATTTCTATTCATGCTTCAACTGTGTCCTCATCTTTGCAATAGCTGATATAGGATCTCTTAGACATTCGTGGACTTACGCTTCAACTGAATGCTGTCTTAATCTATACAAAATCAGTACGTAGCCAGTTTGACCGCCAACAATGTTTCCCGAGCGATTCTAAGTCCACACTCGTCGGGAGTATTTTTAGAGTCGATGTTTCCCAACATCATAGTCAGAGGTTTTACCCATTCTCTCAGCCTTCTTCTGCTTCTTCTTCTCAAAGTCCATGCCGTGTGGCATTGGTAGTCATGTCTAACTACAAGCTTCTGTCTCGTGTGCTTTTAATCAACTCTGACTCAGATCATCCTACTGGTCATGCTATCAAAATGTCCACCAACTTTAGATGAAAACCTTAAAAGTGTGATAGAAATTACAAAAACCATGTCACTGTAAGTGTACATCCCAGCCTGGTAGAGTCAGATTGAAAATGATGTACCTGTTGATCCCTACAGTAAAATGTCAACTTGGTTTACCTGCGGCAGCGCAGTACAGCTGGGCTTCTCGGCAGTAGCTCTGTAACGCCACGATCTGCAAGTACAGATGGAAGACTATGAGATAGTTTTCAAAGGTTGATCTGGGTAGTAAAATGTCCTTAAAATTTTACTTACTTTTGAACATTCAACTGATATCTAATATATGGCGTTACTGGTTTACCAATGGAGAAAGATTGTGGACTTGTATATGATATAGGGCCATACTGATTGATTTACCAATGGAGAAATATTGTATAACACACACACACACTCTCTCTCCTCTCTCTCTCTCTCTCTCTCTCTCTCCCTCTCTCTCTCTCTCTCTCTCTCTCACACACTCACACACACACAAGCATTTGAGGGGGCTCCAAGTGAACATCTTAGAAGTCCTGGACGGACAGGCGTGCATCACACTGCTGGACTTTCACTCGCTGATGAATTTCTTCAGTTCCCCACCCCCATAATTGATTAAAAAGAAACAGTAGCCGGAAAACCGAATACTGTTACTCTATGGTGCTTGTCCAAAGTGATGTCACGTGCTTTACACTCTCGAGATCCTTAAGAACAACATATTGACATGTTACAATACACTAGGATAGTTATTGTAATTTCTATCTCATTTTAGTCGGCAGTGCAAGTATATATCGCGTTGTTTATAAGCGATAAATGTCATCATCATCACGTAGCAAGTCCTTTGCAGAACGTCGCTCTCATCACGGTCTGACTGAAAGAAACTCGGTCTCTCGCCAGCTCTCCCGCCTCATGTACTTTCATACTCAAGGAGTCACTTATATCCTGTGCCCATCTTTGTGTCGGTCGGCCCCTGCCCCTTCTCCCTGGTACCATGCCTTCTGCTATAATTTTTTCAATCCGTCGTGGCGCTTGATGTGACCAAAATATTTCAGCTTCCAGAACGGGATGCTGTTTATTACCCAATCGGTCTTAATGTTCAGATCTTTCAAGATGTCAGTATTTCTCGCGATATATATATATATATATATATATATATATATATATATATATATATATATATATATATATATATATATATATATATATATATATATATATATATATATATATATATATATATATGAAGTCTTAGACTCAACGAGTCAGCCCACGATAATTAACAAGGGTGTAAAATATTAAAATGTAATTCTATAGTACTCTTATGCTATAGTATCCTCTTGATTGCATTACGTTCCCCTATTAGTATCAGTGAATGTCTTCTACACAATAAGCAACTCTCTCATATCTAAACCCAAAGTCCCCAAAACGTTCTTAAAGAACCTAAAACCGTACTTCTCATTTGTTAACTCCATTGTGCATGAAAACTTAAAAATGCCCATTTAATGTTTTTTTTCCCCCCACAGTATTAAAAAACCCTTTAAAACATGGATTTCATGTCAGTTGAAAAGTGCTTAAAGAGCTAAAAGGGAAGTTTGAAGCCGTAATTTTATATGTTAATAACTTCACGGTGGGCACAATACATTCCTCTGTTTTTCTATTCTTGTGACTCACCGATAATCTTTTTTCTGGACACGTGGACTGGGGATATGTTTATGATCCATACACCAGCAAAACATAAGCTGTCTATGCATATTTCCTGTATATCATATATACATATGGCATTATAAAACATATGACGCTATCTATACCAGACAGAAACGCATATAACACCGCCAGCAACTGTCCCGACATGTGAGTTAACAAGCCACAACTGTAGAGATTAATCTTCTTGCTGTTTTATTATCTCTATAATAGTTCCATTCCGTCTGTGCTGTAGAGGTTGGTATTACTTTGCTTTTGTTGGGAATATTGGCTTGAAGAGGATATTAATTATATCCCTTTCAGTAATTGGAGTAGGAAATTAAAAGTTTAACAAGTTGATGATATACAGTATCAGCCAATTACTGGTGCTTGTCGTTAGAAATAAAAGTACCTGATCATAAAAATTTCTAGAAACAGAACAATCAATGTAGTTTATAAGATGGAACATTAAACAGTAAAATGATGAGAAATAGAACAAATAAATATAGGTCATAAGCCTTACCATTCCTTCCTTTGATCGCTGCATGCAATAAAGGAAATGGTTGTTAAAGAAATACGAACAGATGAAGCGAAAAGGTAATAATGCGACTATAAATACATTAAATGAATGGCCCGCATGGTATTACGAAAGCGACGATTAATAAAAAAAATTAATTTCCGGAATGATATATAAAAGTGTGAAACAAATAAAATAGATAATGGAGATAACTGATTAAAGTGAATAAAGAAGACGATGTCAGCATATCTTTAATCCTGATATGTCCTTGTAAGATGCAATTGTTCGTTATTTGAAGCCCCACCATGGCTCTTGCCAGGGGCCGAAATATAGCCCGACCATAAATATGGTCTAATGGCTGAACGCGGTTTCTGGGACCTCTCCTCGGTGACCCTCATCCACATGGTGGCACTTTGTGTCATCGGGTGTTTATCGCTTGTGTGATGTCATGGTAGAGTACAACATACCTACCTGCGATGCTGCCTATGGGTATTGAGAGGAAGAATAGGTGAAGAAGAAAATGACAATAAAGAAGAAGAAAAAAAAAACCAAGAAGAGGAGCAGGAGGACAAGAAAAAGAAAAAGAAGAGGAAAGAGAAAAGTCAGAAGAAAACAAGGAGAAATACTAAACTAAAAAATAATCACACAAAGACCAGACAATATGTCTGCCATAGAGAGAACCACTAGAAGCTGTAAATGCAAGAAAATTTGAAATGCTTGGCCGTGTACTAGTATAAATATCAACTGAGTTTTCGGACGTTATACTTACTGGAGCAGCTCTGAGGAAACAATACAAGGAAACAGCAGAAGAAGAATGTTTATATATATGTGTGTGTGTGTGTGTGTGTGTGTGTGTGTGTGTGTATTAAGTTAGTTGCGCATCCTTTACAGAACGTTGCAGAACCAACCCCAGCATTTTTTAGGCTAAGTCAAGTTTATGTCCAGTATTTTGCTATTACTACTGGACGGTCGGCTTCTCGATGCCACTGTCAAAACCAACGCAAGGCGCAAGGCCCGCATCTGGGATCGAACCCGGTACCTCGGCATGACGAAGCGCGTTTGTAACGCCTAAGCCACAGACGCCGAGACACAGTGTGTACCGTTTAAATTATATTCACAAATGAACAATAAATTATCACATTAGCGCGCACACACACACACACAAAGACGCGGGCGCACACAAACAATGAAGTATTGGTAAGACAGAGATTCACAGAGACGTGATACGTGATAACAGTAAAGAGATGTGTCACAACAATATGTTAGGCTGTAGGAGAGGGCCAAAGAAGTGAAAGGAGAGTCATTACCGCCAAGCACTTCTTTGTTTAACTTTTGTCACGTCATTGTTTAACTGAAAACAAACCAGTGCGACACCTGGACGCTGTCAAAGGCTAAAGTACGAAACATTAACACCTGTGAGATAAAATGCCGGGTAAAGTTGCCAACTTAACATCCGAGTCAGAGTGAGAATGAAACTTTCAGACAGATTGTGGGAAACACTGGACGCAACATTCTTTGAGAAGCTGTGGACCATATTGTTCAGTCATCTTGATGTTGCAACCACTACTAAAAACGGACACCTAAATAGATCTGATGGGAGCTACACATTCAAGGAACCAAGATATTCAGGGTATTCTACATCCATAATGAACACAAAATAGCCAGTGCTGCCAATCAGCAATGTGTAATCTTTTATACTGATATTTGCCTCCAGTCGACGCTTAAAGGTAAAAGTGGAAATTAATGACTAATGATGACCGATGATGACGGCACAACACTTAACCTATGACATGTTAGAATTTAAATGAGCACGCTTCATTGAGTAACTTACTGCACGTCACTGATTAATTTAACACTCCAATCTGGAAAACTACCAGATATACGAACGCTACTCTACAAACTAGGCAGCCGGTGTAAGGTAGCTGTGCAATGGATACCATCTCACTGTGGATATCCTGAAAATGAAGGAGCTGATAAACTAGTTAAGGAAGGTGCAAATGAAGAACAATCTGACGTACCACACTTATCAACAAAAGAAGAGAAAAATAAATCAGAAGGCCACCAAAACCGGCACAAGGCGATTACCATTTTATGGACAGACAAGAGCAAGTTATATTATTCTATGCCTTAGAACAGGACACAATCCAATTCGCAGCCACATGTACACACAATTTAAAATCGGCAAATCAGACATGTGCACATGCTGACTGGCATCTGAGACAACAGATCATATCCTCCAAGACTCCCAAATACAACATAGCAGGGCAAAACTTGTAGCCAAGAGAAACATCAGTGCAAGTCAAACTTTACGGGTCGCTGATTGAAGTACAAAAGACAGAAAAGCTCATACAAGAGACAAAATTGCAGATACAGAAAATCTATATCAAACGAACGAAAGAAGAACAAGTTTAGCATACTTTACAGTTAAACTTGGCGTACTTCATTGTTCAACACAGTATGGTAGTTGCCATTGGATGTAAGAAAAGAAGCTTCTGTGAACAACATATAGCCAGTCCTTACGTATGGAAGTGGATGAATCAGCCGGTCTATCTATCTATCTATCTATCTATCTATCTATCTATCTATCTATCTATCTATCTATCTATCTATCTATCTATCTATCTATCTATCTATCTATCTATCTATCTATCTATCTATCTATCTATCTATCTATCTATCTATCTATCTATCTATCTATCTATCTATCTATCTATCTATCTATCTATCTATCTATCTATCTATCTATCTATCTATCTATCGATCTATCGATCTATCTATCTATCTAAACTATCTATCTATCTATCTATCTATCTATCTATCTATCTATCTATCTCTATCGATCTATCTATCTATCTATCTCTATCTATCTATCTATCTATCTATCTATCTATCTATCTATCTATCTATCTATCTATCTATCTATCTATCTATCTATCTATCTATCTATCTATCTATCTATCTATCTATCTATCTATCTATCTATCTATCTATCTATCTATCTATCT